CTTTTCGTGGCAGTAGAAGCATTCAGCCTCTTTGGGATCAGAAGAAGGTATAACGAAACCTTTCTTGGTTCTTGCTAGAAGAGGAGACATCAAAGGTCTTACCCTTGGTACCCTTCGAAGGGTTCTTTCTCTTATTCCCTCTACCTTTCCCGATTGCCAGGACAGGTGCTGAGTTTGGAGTAGTAGCAGGAGTGGTCATCACCGACTTTCCTTTAAGACCTGATTCTACGGTCTTTAGGAGTCCCTGAATTTTGCTAAGTGTAACTTCCTCCTTATTCATGTGGTATGTCATGCGGAATTAATCATAACACGAAGGTAAGGAGTGCAAAATAATATCTATTGCTAACTCCTCAGGGAAGTTCACATTCAACTTCATCAATCTATCCACATACCTTTGCATTTTCTGCATGTGGTTTGTGATGGGTTCTCCATCTTTCATACGGGTTGTGATCATAGAGGATATGATTTCATATCGCTCTTGACGAGCACTCTGATGGTAGCGGTCCATCAAATCTTGGTGCATCTCAAAAGGATAGTAGTCCTCATAGGACTTTTGGAGCTCGGCTGTCATGGTGGCCATCATGATGCATGCCACTTTGGTAGCATCTCTTTCATGTGCCTCATATTCATCAAACTCCTCAGGAGTAGCGGTTGGCTCAGGCACCTTGAGCTCCTTATCAAGAACATATTCCTTGTTCTCGTAACGAGTGACCATCCTGATGTTTTTGATCCAGTCAGTAAAGTTGGATCCATCAAAGATGACTCTCCCACAAAGGTTCATGAGAGAGAAGGAGCCAGTAGGGTTTGAGCCAGGAGTAACATTGTTGGAAGACATCTGAAAGGAAGAAAGTAAGTTTAGTTTAGATATAGGGATAATCCTTAATAAAACACTCAAATGTAGTATTAAGGCTAGGATCCAATCACAATATATTATAACCTAGAAGAGGGATGTCGTAATCCAAGTTATAACATATTTGAAAGGTAGGTGAATGACGATTCACCAATTTCCACCATGAAAACAAAATATAAATTATTAGGTTTTATTTGGCTTTTAGAAATTCCTAGATTCTTTGAGATTCATTGAACTTTTCAATGGCATGTTTCAATCTCGAGTGTGCCCTTCATATTTTGTGACTGGGATACTGAGGATCACAAAACAAGGTGTGAAGTAACCATGCAAATTACTTGGTACCCTTAATGTTTTTCACTTAATCGTTGTGCTGGTAAACCACACACGCTCCTTCCGTCCTCATGAAAAACCTTAAGTCACCCTTTGCCTTCCTTGTTAAGTCTAAGTTAGTGTTCCGGTAAACCACACACGCTCCACCAACGACTTAAACAAGGTGCAAAGTGTAATTTCATGGATTAGCACCTTATTCACATTTTTCCTAAAGTAACTAAGATTTGGAATTTATAAAACATTTAGTTACTTTATAATAATCATTATACTTTTAATGATAATTTATAAGTCCTTGTCTTACCCGTTCGGCTACCAGTCAAGCAAGTGGTGGGTGAGAGTAGACACCCATTAAGTTGCCATTTTATAGGCAACAACCTTATACCCACCTTATAGACCGGCTTCGTGAATAAGGCGTACTAGCGGTAAGATGACTTTGTTCTCATACATACATATATATACATATATATATATATATATATATATATATATATATATATATATATATATATATATAACTATTAAATCATAATACTATAAGTATAAGGGTTGAATTTTAATTTTTTAAAATTCTAAGGGTTGGAACTAAAGTTTTAATCAAGACTTTACTTGTTCCAAAACTTGAGGGCAAGTTTTGTAAACTTTCAAAACTTTTCATTTCTTGTAACTTATGAGTTTATTAGGGTATTTAAAAATGAAGACTCTTCATTTTATAACCCATGAGTTCTTTTAATGGTTTTTAAAGCAAAGTGACATTTTGTTTTCCATAACTTGAGGACAAGTTATGGACTCCATTAAAACACATAAAGATCATGAATTAATCTACCACATAGGTTCCAAATAATTCCTATGATCATCTAAACATCATAAGATCAAGAACATGAATATGAATACTTTCATGAATCAAAAATTACACTTGAAACTTGTAATTTTGATAACTTGTTGTAAATGGACTAGCACAAACATTACACCATCTAAAACATGTTTACACAAACCAAAACAATTTAGGGTAATGTTTCTAGTCCATTTCCAGCAACTAAAATCGAAATTCTGAACCTGCAGCTTCTACTCGTCGAGTGCATGAACTGACTCGGTGAGTAGCTTGCATTTGATCATGGACTCGTTGAGTCCCCCCATGGACTCGGTGAGTTCATACGGGCAGAAAGCAGAAAACTCGATTTTTTCAAGCAGTTTGCACAAAAATCAAACAAGCAAGCCTAGGCTCTGATATCACTGATGGGTTTTGAGCATTCTAACACTTCCTAAGTGTACATGCAACCCTAATTGTTGGATTAATGTCTAAGTCCATAACTATGATTGGTAAGACTTGACCCGACCCGGCATGGTCCATTTGGGTTGCATGGCATCATGCACTTGGATAGACTATAATGAGATAAATAAGACACTTATGGTTATTAATATATTATAAGATCTAGTATATTAATAATAAGAATAATTAGATTATTTAATTAGTATTGATCAAGAATTAATCTAGGATTAATTAAGTGATCAAAAGAAGACTAATTAAATATATGGGTTGATTGTGCAAATCATCCATACTTATATAGTGGGCTAATGCTCCATGGATTATCTAGTTAGGCCAAAACCCATATGATGCTCCATGGTGTATTTGAACCCATGGATCCAAGGAAATGGAAAGTCATGACAATTAGGGTTTACCCTAATTGTATAACTATATAAGCATCTTATTCTTGATCAAAATCGGACACTAGAGAGACTAAAAAAAGGGCTAGCCGATTTTTCATGAAGTGTAGAATTCTCTCAAGTTATTCCAAGTGTATTTGGTGTTGTGTGAACCATTTGAGGTGTCACACTTGGGGCACTAGGCACTCAAGCTTCATGAAGACATTCTACATCAAAGAGGTATGTATTCTATCTTGTTATATTGATAGTGTTGTATGCTAGATTAGGATAATACCTTGGATGTTCATATTTGCATGTAAAATAGAGAAAACATAGATCCAAGGTATTTAGGGTTGCATGTACACATAGGAGTGTTAGAATGCTCGTAACCCAACACTAATAACCTTGGATCTGTGTTTGTCTAATTATCATGCAAAGTTGATTTTCAAGGCTATGATCCTATCTAGCATACATGGGGAACAATTTTAACTTAAATAATAGATAGAATTACATACCTTGTTGTTGTGGGTGTTCCTTGAAACCTTGTGAGCCTAGCACCCCAAGTGTGATGCCTCAAATGCTTCACACAACACCAAATGCTATGGAGTAAACTTGGAGAGAATGTATAACACTCAAAATCGACTCTAGCCCTCTTGTTTCTTGTCTAACCGATTTTGGGGAGAACACATGAGCTTTATATAGTGTTGACACATCTAGGGTTACACCCTAATGTGTCACTACTCTTCATTTCCATGACCCATGGGTTTGTAACTCCCATGGAGCCTCCATGGACCATCCAATGGGTATAACCCATCTTGATTATCCATGGAGCCTCTTAGTCCACTATATAAGTTATGGATGATTTACATAATCAATCCATACATTTAATTAGTTGTCTTTTGATCACTTAATTAATTCTAAATTAATTCTTGATCAAACTAATTAAATAATATTATTAATATATTAGAACTTATAATATATTAATAAACCATATGTGTTATTTCTCTCATTTAGTTTATCCAATTGCATGGTGCCATGCAACCCAAATGGACCATGCCGGGTCGGGTCACGTATTTACCAGAAATAGTTATGGACTTAGACACCTTATCCAACAGCTAGGCCCCAAGTTTATTATCCTTTTCCGAGTTTTGGATCGTGTAGGCAAAGTGGCTGACCGATTGGAAATGTCAGAGGAGTTGAGGCAAAGTCATGATACATTCCACGTCTCCCAGATAAGGAAGTGTATAACTGACGAAACAACTGTGATCCCTTTGGAGGACATTCAATTCGATGATCTCTTGAATTACGTTAAGAAGCCTATGATAATTCTGGACCGGCGAGTAAAGACCTTGAGGAACAAGGTGGTGGACTTGTTCAAAATTTAATGGCAACACTAGAAGGGCTCAGAGTGGACCTGGGAACCCGAGTCTAATCATTTCTAGTTCTTAACTTTATCAAAGTTGCATAATTGGTCCCCTGCGGTAAAAGCTTCACATTTTAGCCGTACATTGGGTGTAATTGAGGGTACACACAACATACTCGTGTGATGCGGGATCGCGGATATCCTGCTAGTACACCCGACGTATGTGTGGTACACCGGTCGTACCGACCCAATCACTAAACCCTAATTTTAAGGGTTTCTCCCTATTTAAACAAAATTATACCTCCCTTCACTACTAGAAAAACAGCCTTTTACGACGCTTATTGCGCGTCGTAAAAGGCTCAGACGACGCGCAAATGCGTGTCAAGGAATGCCCTGTCATAAAGAGAGACGACGCGCATTTACAACGCGCAATTACGACGCGCGTTTACGACACGCAATGCGTATCAAGGAATGCCCTGTCATAAAGGAAGATGACACGCATTCGCGTATCGTAACCTTACGACGCGCGTGTTAATGACACGCAATGAGTATCAAGAAAGCCCCTGTCAAGAAAGGCCATGTCATAAATGAAGAGGACGCACATTTTTGCGTATCGTAAATTTAAATGTTTAAAAAAAATAAATTTATATATTTATTAATTTTTAAATTAAATTTGCATTTAATTTCTCATAATAGAAATAAAATACCATATAAAAAAAAATACAAGCCATTGCATAATATAAAATAAAATTTCATACTCAAAAAATAAAATAAATTGCACAAATTGTAATGTCATACAAAGAATCATTCAAATGTTAAACAAAAATAATACATTGCTAACATGGGTTATACATTCCTATAAAACTAACAAATAATCATACAACTCTATTTCTTACTGGAAAGGAATGCCAAACATGATTACAAGTCTCCCTTAATCTTGATTACTCACCTTCTTAAGTAGAATGTTGTTGTTGAGAAGGTTACCTAGCAACAGAGAAAAACACAACACCTCTCCCACAATCACAACATCATTTACAGAGAAAGGGTTGTCAATTACTTTCATTAAGACTTTCATTCAATCACAAAAATATTAAATAAAAGGGTGAAACAGTAACTTACTTTTGATAAGTTGATCTCCCTTAGAGCAAACACAGCTAAAGCATTGAACAAGACCCTATTTCAAAATTTTATAAATACACAAATCATGATACCTGATATTGGAATACACACTTTGAGACATGAATAAATACGAGTAGATTAACCTAGATACATAGGAAGTAAAGATGGAAGGTGCCAGAACTCCGGGGGCATTGGGTTGGTTCCTTCCCACTCGCACACACCACGCCAGAACTCCACTTAATCCAGCACTAAAATAAGCCTGCATTCAGAAAGCTGCAGGGGTGAGTCACAATTCAAGAATCTGTTAAAATTTGAGGAATAACATGTTCAACCAAAACAATATTAGAAAACAGGGTTGAATGTGAAACATAGCAATGTAATAATTATCAAGGTGCTGGAATACTTGAAATCTAGATTATTTCCTTGTTTGTACATCCAGACGATTTTATCACGAACATAAGTCATGTTATCAACTTTCTGAAGAAGTATACCAAGACATTTGTAGGAGAAGAATACTCTCAATAAGATAATTTAATTAAAAAAATGTAATGATAATGATAATGAGTTCATACCTGTGAAGTAGTGCAGAATGCTCATCATCATATGTATAAAGCTCATACTGCTTTGCAAAATCATTTCCAAGAGAAATGACCCAATCAATGTCTTGAACAACATCCAAAGTTTCTGCAAGAAACTGCAAACAAAAAAAGAAATAAATAATAATGACATGAAAAGTAAGACTATCAGTCTATTACCTCAACAATAAAACAAAACAAATTATTATTAAAATCAAATAATGATAATACAAATTGTTACAAATTATGGGACAGCAGGGTCTTCTATGATGACATATAAAGCAGCACTATTACAATATTACCCTTGTGGGACAGCAAGGTCTTCTTCTATGATGACAAATTGTGGGACAACAATACATGACTAAATGCGTGTAGATTGATAAGGTTGTTTCTTTTTTACTTAATAAAATCAAAATGACTTGTCGTGCTAAGTGAGAGGTTGGTCACTTTATGTATTAAGACCCTCCCTATTACAATATTACCCTTGTTTATTTTTTTATTTTATTCAACTTTTGACAATCTCATGAAAAAGGCACTATCGACCTCGTTTTTTTTCAATGTTCACAGAATTTTAAGCAAAATGTTGGCATCTATTTACCTGTTGTTGTTTGTTTTAGAATTTGGAGAGAGATAGATAGATAGAGAGAGAGAGAGAGAGAGAGAGAGAATCTTCATGCCTTTATGGTGTATCAAAGGAGGGCGCGAAAAGACAACCCAGTTACCATCCTAAGCAATTAGTGGTCCTATACCATGTGAAAAACAGAGCTCATATCATAAGCTGATTTCATAAAAAGATATAAAAAGAAAGACTAAAGAGCCAGTACCAGTTGATCAAACCCATGACATCTTTTGTGTGCCCAATGAATTTGTTCATGACAAGTGGATCCGAAGGACATATTACATTTGCTTGCAAAAAAAACTATACACAACCAAAGAAAAATGAAATTACATCAAACCAAATAAAGAAAAGGGTATTTTAGACATTTTTTTAAGAATGTGGTATAGCAATTACTACTTGCTCAGTGAGTTTAGGTAAGTGACACCTAAAGATTAAAAACAAATAATTTAATCATATTACACTTTGATAATATTATCATTTTTTAATTTAAATAAAAGAAAAAAGATAAATTACCCAGGAAATAAGCGTGCAACAGTTCAATAACCAAACATAGCTTGATCATCTGCTTCTTTGGGTGCATAAGCATTCCCATATCCTATCCAACCAGGGGCAAATATTCCTTCCAAGTTACCTATAAGTGTTGTGATAGATTAATCAAAACTTAATTAATTAATCAAAAATCAAAAATAGGATGGAACCTTTTAAGTTACCTATTAAGTGTTGTGATAGATAATGGGCAAGAGCAGCTTCACCATGGAGGATTTTAGCGCCACTCCCAACTGCCTCCTCATCAACAACCACACCATCTATTATATCTTTACCTGTTCTTTCATTAGGAATTTGCATTACATTTATAAATTATCATTCTATTTCTATCATTTCATTATAAAAAGAAAAAAAAATAATACAGTAGTAATCTTTAGACACAAACCTCATACATGGCATTTTATAGAGTTGAACATTGAAGTAGTTTGTTGAACAGCTGTTTTTTGGTCCTCCTGTGATCAGACAACATAACAAGTCCTCATCCCAAATACACAATTAATGATTTTTTTTTTCTTAAAAAAAAAGAAAAGAAAAGAAATAATATGGTTTTAGTTTTACCTGGATGCTATCCTTCCTAATCCAACAACAAAGGTAGTGATCTTCTTTCTTTTCATCAGAATGGTAGGAGTAAAGACAAATATAGCAATCTCCACTGTAAAATTTTCCAATATCCTCCTTGGGTAATTCCGTCTTTTCTTCACCATCAATACGCCATACCTAAAGCGCCCACAATTATTTTATCTTTCTACATTAAATCTAAATGTAGCAACAAGTTTATGATCTGAAACCTCAATTTTTCCATTTTCTCCATGCAAAGGTGGAACTTCCTCCTCTACAGGAGCCGTTTTTGTCTGACCTTTGGCAAAAGCACCTTGTTGCTTCAGCAGAGCTAGTCATTAGAACAAGAGTAGAACTTAGGGTAAGTTTTAGAAAAAGTCAAAAATAGCCCTAGAAAACTCAAACACCCATGTCCCATGTAACAAAAATATATATAAGATATAGAATGAATCTACGCCCACAGAGTAAATAATCCAACTCACTTGTAGAAAATATTTGTAAACTTGAAGCCTCAAAAACCTGATAGTAATAAGATAAAATATTAGCTTAAAAAAATTATTTTGTATATTTTCTAATTCCATAAACAATTTAGCATATTAGAATGTTGGAAAAAGATGATGACCTTATTAAAGCTAGCTCTAAATGCTTCCAATTGCCTTGTGATACAGAGAATCAAACTTACTTCTTGTTTCTCCTCCCACGTTTAGGTCCCCATCCTTCAAGCTTTGCAACAGGCCAACCCACATATGAAGTTCATATGTGGTGGAACTTGTCAAATAAAAGAAAAAGAGAGAACTGAATGCGTTCATCTTAATCGGTCACTTCAATCAAGAATTAGTGCCCTAAATCTTCAACTACATATGTCTTAACAATTTCACATAAATAATTATAAAGGATTGTTACAATTATCTGAAATTTCAGATCTAGGGATGACGTACCTGGAGCCCTTGGTCGCTCAAAGATGATTTCCTCGGTAGAAACCATGGTGAGTTTGGCACCGACGTCCTCTTGAACGGCATCACCGAACTTAGGCCAAGAACGCCTCTCCATGGCGCGCTTGCTCAGCCAAGCATTAGCGATTTTATGGATGCGTGTGGTGGTGGTAATCTTAACCCGATTACCTTCGTCGTTGAATTTGTACTTTCAACTCATGTTCATCGGGTCCAATAACCTGTTTCGGCGGCAACAAATAGTCATAGTCACCACCATTAGCTTCTTCCTCCAATTCGCCCCATCTGGGTTTTTGAGCCATGTCTGCGAAGCTGCTAGAATTGTTGCTGAGGGAAAATTAGGGTAGGAGATTCGAAGTGGTAATGTGAATAAGATGAAGATGTAATGAAGTCGGTTGTTGTGATTCTTTAGGCTTCAAAATTGATAGATTTTTTTTCGATTCTTTCAAGTTTGAATAAGAAAATGAGAAAGAGTTAGGGAAATCAAGAGTGCAATGCTCGTCCTTGTTAGGTTGAAGATGAAAGATAGATAGAAGATAGAAAAAAAAAGGCGGGTTTTCAAAATTTTGGGGATTTCATTTCCCCCCTTGTCTACTAAAAGCGCGTTTCATTAAAATTATAAAGCGACAGGTACAGACGACGCGCGTTTAAGATAAAGCGCCCTCCGTGTTTTTAATTTTTTTTCTTGAGACACTAAATTAAGGGCACGTAATAAAGCGTGACGTAAATCCTTAAATTTTTTGGAGAGATGACACTATTTTAAGGGCACGTCCTTTTGCGTATCGTTAATTATCGCGTGTCGTAAAAAGCGCGTCATTAAAGGTCTTTTTTCTAGTAGTGCTTGGACTATCCTTATCATCCACCATTCCCTCCTCAAACCCTAATCTTGAGTCTAAGCTTGTTAGTGAGAGTTTGGGAGCTTATTAAGTGATTTTGGTGCATGTTGTTGAAAAAGAAGGCTAAAGAAGAATGAGTTGTTGCTTGCAAGCTTGAAGATCCATAAATCACTCCTTATTGTGCATCTTTTTCAAGTATAAAGTTTATACCTTGATGAGTTTCCTATTTGATCTCCATGGATGAGTTTTATGAGCTTTTTGTCCCCAAGTTTGGACCTTTATGAGCTTGGAGCACTCCAGAGAATATTAGTTGTCCTTTCATGTATTTTAGTACTTGTAGGTTCATAAAAATGGTTGCTTGATCATTTCCTATGGCCCATGCATAAGTAAAGTGAGTTAGAGTGTGATGAAATTTAGAGTTTGTTGCATTGGGTCCTTTCTAGCCATGCAAAGGCTTAAAGCTGACAACTTTATGGAGTAAGACACCCTAGGATGGTCAAATATGAAGTTGGGTTAGATGTATTAACAAATTAAGTCACAAAAGTTGGTAAAAGTTGAATCAGACTGAGTACGTTGGACGTACCCCTGGCTACGCCCCGCATAGTCGATTCTGTTACCGATTATTTGTTGTTCGAGTAGTACGCCCGACGTAAAAAAGAGTATGCTCAGCGTACGCGTTGGGCAATTACCTTTCGTTGACTTTTGACTTTTGTTTAAGATTTAGGGTTTTGGGCCATGGGAGGGGCAAAATGATCTTTTTCCCTTAAAGGACATAGTTGTGGGGTTTGGACTCGCGAGTTGATTTATGGAACTCAATTATTAATTTAGGTTAATTATTTTGTTGATTAGGAGAATCTAGTTCTCGCAATTCAAGTGTGAGATTTACTTGTCGTCAGTATGAAGTGAGTCTCCTCACTTATTCTTACATATGCAGTAGAATAGTTGTATTTGTGATGACCAATTGGGTATACGGTTATTTTCCTGTTATGCTGTTATGTGTGACTAAGACTGTAGATAGTCTCCAGGGTTGTTGATAACCCATAGGGCATGCTGTTGCCCACTGGGACTGTTGATAGTCTCCAGGGTTGTCGATAACCCATAGTTGTTTATTTATGTTATGTTGTATGTGTATCTTGGAGAACTCACTAAGCTTCATGCTTACAGTTGTTGATTTATGTGTTTCAAATACTTATGAGGACCGTATGAAGGTGAAGGTCTGATTATATACACTCGCTGGGAGATTTCTTACTGGGACATTTTGAGATACTTTGATATTTTGTCATGATGTTTTTTCAGACACTTATGTTTTTGGATGAATTGGTTTGTGAAACTTTATTTTGGGAAATTAAAAATGACAAATTTTGATTTAAAATTTGAGGTGTTACACATATTCTTGTAGGATTTGGGCGCTTATCAGTCGAATGCCCGGTTTTTAAGCAGATTCTGCACGACTTTGTCGTAGGCACGATTCCTTTTTCTTTTGTGAGCAGCATGACGGATTTTTTCAGTTCATAAATTTAGCCCTCCAATTGAAGAGAATTAACTTCTTTTACGCCTCTGGTTGATCAACGTACCACTCTTGGCTAATTTCTCGATGAACTCTCGGATTTGAGTCGGTGTTGTATCGCCTAAGGATCTGCCACTTGAAGCATTTATCATCTTCGTTCAATGGATGTCAAGCTTTCACAAAAACACCGATACAACAGATAATCATTGATTCCATGTTGTGGACACCGAACAAGCAACTTTTTGAAGTGCTCCCAATATGTGTGTAAAGCCTCTCATTTTCCTTGTTTAATTCCAAGGATCTCTAGGCAAAGATTCGAAAGTCGTGCTTCCAGAATGTATTTTTCCATAAATAGTTTTGCGAGCACATTCCACATGATTATGGATCCGAATGGGAGATCGTACAACCATTCTTTTGCTGAATCTTGAACTGAAAAAAAAAATGCCCTTAATTTGATATGGGCTTCTATGATGGCGTGCGACTTCATTCTGAAATAGAAGACATGAAATTCCTTGAGAAATTATGCGGGTCTTCATTTTCTAGGCCTTAGAACATGGGAAGGAGGTGCATTAACCCAAATTTGATTTCGAAATTATGGGCATCAGTAAAGGTAATACAAAGAGGTTGTTACCTCTTGGATGACCCACTGTCTGAGATTCCTTTCTACAATATCTCTCATGGTTGTGGTGGTGGTAGAAGAGTCGAAATTAATATCAAAAGATTTCGTATATTCATATTTTACGAAAGGTGGTGTGTAAGGTTTATTTGCACTGTGAGTAAGTGATGATGGCGGTGCTTTTGGGTAGGATGAAAAAAGGGGTTCTGGCTCGTTTCACAAGGGACTACCTTGTGGGTTAGTTTTCTCCGAGGCTACATAAGATGACGAAGCAAAGAATTTGAAATGTCGCTTCTTTCTTCATTTTTCTCGCAGTCTTTTCTATTTCTGGATCAAATCTTAGTGGTGTACCTATACGTGAAGGTATGGGCATAAAACTTATTAGTAATATCGTGTCCCCGGCAACGACGCCAATTTGTTACACGCGTCGTTAACATCTAAACAAATAAAAATCATTGCTTGGTTGCACTAATGGGTAGCATAGGGAATCATGGTCAAATCCACATGGACACGGATTAAAAGTCAATGCCTCTTTGTGTAAGACACATACTAGTCCGAAAACATAAAACATAAAAAGGGTTTTTTTTTTGTTCAGAATATTAATAATTAAAATTGCAGTGAAATAAAGTAAATAATTTCAGTAATAAAAAGCGTTTTAGTATTGTTATGACTTTCCTAATTATGCAATCAGTCCAGATCTGATTATTTAATATGTGTTCTATCTAAGCTGGTGATGAAAACTTCTAACAGGCTCTAGTAAGTCTACCAAATTAATTAACTAAAACAAGATCTTCAGTTAATCCTAACTTTTTACCAACCTAATTAAACAAGCACTTAATCAAATCAGAAAAGCAACATTATGAACACTGTAAAATTCTTAGCAGTATTCAATACTTCTCACAAGCTCGGAAACATAAAAATATATGATTTTCAGTTTATATAAGAATTAAATCCCAACACGGAACCAATCTGATACTTGTTACTTATTACTAGTTTATCAAACCAATTACAAATTTCAACAACTGATTAACTAGAATGATTTAATCCTAATCAAGTACTCATTCTAAAAAAAACTAAAAATCAAACATTCAGGAAGCATAAAACGGAAAGCACTATATAGAAACACAAAGTAAAAAACCAAATCTAACGATTAATCACATAAAAAAGTATTGATCTTTAAGGTTTTATCCGGACATAACCCGATTGGATACTAGTTGCAAAGCCGAAATGCAAGATTCTATTTGTTGGATTTTAGCATAAGCTTCTCTTGATATTTGATCATCTTCATCATTTTGATTATATAAAGTCGGTGATTTCGGAAAGTCAACTGTTGATGAACATGGGAATCCTCCAACTCCAACTTCATAGGTGGTTGGGTTGTTTTGTTCTTCCCAATTTCTTTTATGATTTTGACATTGGTTATCTTGAACTTGATTTAACTCTTTGGTCAACTGTTTGACTTTTGGTTTTTGGCATACTCGGCATCGTTTCAGTTTGATATCTGCTTCATCTGCTAAGATTCCTTTTGACTGACCAAAAGAAAATTCTTGACTTATTGGCTCATTGAAGATCCCTTGACTGGTTCTTAAGTCAAGATTCTGCAGACTTGGAAATTGGGTAGTTGACCACAGGTTAAAATAAGATGGTCTGAATTGAGTACCCACCATCTGATCATATAACCAATTACAATTCTAGTGTCAATTTTATTTTACTCTCGGAAAGAATGAAATTTCAAGTCATTGAATACCTTTGCATGAGCCTCAAAAGCTTTTTTGGCACTAGCATCCAGTAAATTTAGTAGTAGTTGTCTTGCGTTATTGTCCAACTATTTCAGAACAAATATAAATCAAGGGATGGATTAATTAGCATATGAAAGAAGAAAGAACACAGAAACATACATATACGCTGCAATGGAAATAGATCACAAGAGAATCAGTCAGATAGATAACTGTACATCTTTTTCCTTAAATGTTGGATTCTTGATAAATCAATTGGCATCAAGAACTCATTTTTTGTAAAATGCAAAGTGTTCAAACAAAACCTTATCAAATTGAAGTTTTGGAGAAGAGTACGACAGACAGACGCAAAAAGACTTACATTTTTAGAGGCACGTTGTTGGTCGTTTACAAGAAGACCATACAATCGTCGCAAGGAGAGTAGCTCTGATCGTAGGTTCTCTCGATCCATCATCTGTGATTAGAACTCCGCAAAAATCTGAAACAATTCTACAATTATTTTAAGCCAATGATACTTTTTATGGCGATATTGTTTTCTTATCACATTGTTAAAAGAGAAGGAAAGCACATAACTGTTTCCACTTCCCGATAGATTTCCTTCAGAAAT